GCCAAGCCTAGCACCTAGAGTTCTTCTCTGGGGCTTTCATATTTCATGGAAAGGAGGTCCTCTTTTTCTCCTTGTGTTATGAACCGGAAAGCTGTGATCCCAGAAGTACTGATAGTCGTGTACTTCACCTTGTGGAAGACCCTGAGAAATGAGAGCTACAAAGATGTAGAAGCTGAGAAATGAGGAGAAAGAGAGAGAGAATGAAAGAGAGAACGCTCGCTAATGCTATTTAAGTCTCTAGGTCCAGTCTCCTTGGCCAGTTCTATATTTCTTTTTTTATGCTTTAATTATACAAGCCAATAAACTTCCTTTTTCTTGCTTAATCTAGTTTTAGTTAGGATACAGCTCTTTGTCTTTTGAAACCAAAATAATTTTGATTTACCCAAGATGACTTTTGTTTTGATAGATGAAAGTGTTATATATATCAGATTATACTGTTTATACCACTACTACTTGGGGCTAACTCAAGAGGAGGGGACAGGTAATATGGGTAAATTTCCATTTAAGAATAAATTCATTCTCAAAGGGAGACACTTGAACCAGTGTCAAAGATCACTGAGGAATACGAGAAAGCAGAACAAGGATCAGTGCTGAAAGACTGGAGACGGTCAAAAATTCTCAGTTTCAAGAATGAAAAGAAGATAAACTCCATGGACTAGATCAGTGGACTATCATTAATTTTAGAACACATTATTAAAAATTTGGTTTGTATTACTCACAAAATAAATATTGATCACTAGCACCCAGCATGACATAGAGCGGGTAGTACTAATGCCAGCAAGAGTCAATCCTATAACCACTATATATCTGGACTTTAGCATATCATGTGACAAGGTCTTTCTGCGATCCTTTTGAACAGGCACTGGTGAGGTAAATTAGTAACCGTTTCTAAAGGTAATGATTATTAGATCAATTAGCTTATAGGGAAGTTTCTGGTGGCTCCATCTTCTGTCTGTCTTCATAAATCTTTTTATTAATCACCTGAATGAAGACACCAATTGACAGCTGACTGCATTTGTACATAGCATGAAGCTAGGAACAAATCATTAGATGATAAAATCAAGTTTCCAAACATCTCGAGAGGCTGAAATTCAGCAGGGAAAAAATTAGTCTTACACTTAGCCCCCTGCCTCCAAACACACAGACAACAAAAACATAAAAACTGTACAAGTCAGGGTGGAAATGTAACTTAATAGCAGAGTATGTGACTACAAATCAATTTCTAGCAGGCTATTAGTTTAATAAGAAAAAAATAAAGCTAACTCAATTTTAGGCTATAGTGGCAGAAGGATTGTTTGCAAAAAGAGATGAAATTCTTGCTCTAATCAGCACGGGGTTGGCCAACTATCGTACATTTAATTCTGGGTGTTTATTATAAACATGTTTGTGTATATATATATATATATGTAAAAGTATGTTAAAAAGATCCTGTCCAAACAAGAGTAACCAGGATGCAAAAATCATTAAAAAGATTGGAGATGTTTAACTTGACTTTGCTTTTCATTCTCTTACCTCCATTTTTATAGATCAGAGCTTCCCAACTGGTGGAATTATAGACGCCGCTCAAGATATTTGGTCTTCGCATCCTTTGGGGAGGCCAGGCAAGTAGCTTGATCCTGGGCTTCTGGGAAAAGATCCATAGCATGGCTTAACAAGTGGTGCGTCGGTGTGCGCTGGGGATCCAAACCGGCAAACCCCGGGCCACCGCAGCGGAGGGCATGCACTTAATTTGAAGATTGTCATTAAAATGTTTTAATTAGAAATGATATATAGGCTTTCAAGCATAAAACTTGAGATAAAAAGCTATATTGATGGAAGTAGATTCATATTTCTCAATTTAAAGTTATCAATTTGATTTTAATATATTCCCCCAAATATTGTATTTTTTTTCAAAATTGTGTCATATAAAGAAAATGTAATGAATCTCTTTACCAAGTCCCATACAGATGTCCCCAAATTTCCTCCAGTTTGCCTCAGTGTGCCATACAAATATCGTTATTTTCTATGTTGAGAAACCACTGCTATAGGTAGATTTGCCTCTATAATATGTTCTGTTACCAAATATTTTCTGGTTTAACTGCAGACTAATTAATTACAGACTTGTCTTAATATATAGTTACTGTTACCCAAAGGAAGGAGATAAGTCTACATAACAACTGGAAAGTGTTAAACCTAAGTTATTTCCTCACTCCTTCTCCTATGCCTCTTGAAAATCTTGGAATACTATGCTGGAGAGCTAGAAATTTTTTTTTATTGACCTAAATGGTTACACAGTGTTCACTTTGTGATAAATCACTGAGCACATTGTTTTGTGCACTTGAGTGTACATATTTTATTTCACAGTAACAAAAAGATTAAAAAATTTGTTTTCTAAGACTAAAGAGATATGGTGATCTATAGATCTCTGAACATCTTCTTACTTCCTGCTCATATCAGCCTTGCTCTTATTACTCTCCAGGAAAACTTAATAAATGATTAACTGCATCATTAACTGGGCAGTTGGGAGCAATCATGAAAGGCACAACACTTACTTGATAATTCATAATAGAAACACAGTCCTCTTCGGTTTCTGAATTATCCTGTTTTCTATATAAATTAATCAGATGGATCAAATGCTATTAAAACTTAAGGGTGATAATTGGCTTTTATAATTCATGATATAAAATATGACACTGATGGGCCTGGAGGTTATTACTATGATCCACATAGCAGGATAGGGCTAGCCTTTGATATGAGAAAGTTAAGATGGATTCCACATCTAGTTGCACCCCTAGCCTTGGCAAACATTCATTTCTTCTGCATCCTGGAAATTTGTGGCAAATAAGGTCCATCAGATAAAATTCAGACAATTTCAGAATAAATTACTGATACATATATATATCAGTAAAATACTAAGTATATATATACACTTTAGACAGGGATATTATTTTTTCACTGTGAGAATTTAGTTTGCCCTATTAAGTATACCAACAAAATGTTTGTTCCAGGCTGGTAAGGTGCTCCATTTAAGACAAATGTCTCATTAATGAGACACTGACTTCATTGTCAACACTCTGCCAAACTGATTTACTTGAACAATAATAAGAAAGGGGCAAACGTGTTCCTGCTCTAACCATACCTACCATTATGAAACATTTGCCATGAGTTTCTTTTGCCTTGCTAGCATATAGTTAGCATCTGTCTGCTGTGAGAATGAAACCCCCTAGACAGCTTGAGGACACGACTCAGGCTGAAGCATGAAGGGAAAAGAAGATAGTTCACTCAGCCATCAATACATACACATGTGAATTTACAGAGCAGGCAGAAGAGCTATCAATCTGAGCCTATTCCACAACATCTCATGTGAGTGTTACTCACATTACTGCGATATCCTTAACTGCATCACATGGCTTATTAACATTGGCATTTGTTTTTGTTAAGAAGCTTTATGTTTAAAGAAATTATCCATCTAGTCCACATTTCTGCAAACATGGAGGCAAATGAAGAAGCAGAACTATTCAGCCTCATCCTCCACCAAGCCCCAGTCTCATTTGCTTCCTGTAAAGAATATCTCTTGCTTACTTTCTCCACAGGCTCATATGTCTTCTCTATCTTATCCCTTTTCTTCTCTCTTTCTCTAGAATAGGCTGCGCCCTCCGGCGGCTGGGAGCTTAAAAAAAGAAAAAACCTTCGCAGACTCGCAGACGAGATTTTTAATCCCTTGCAATTTTACTTTTGGGCTGAGTCCAATGCATTCCCTGGGGCTCAGTGCAAGTAGTCACGATCATGAACCCAACCACACTTACCCCGCTGTGGTCAATTTCCTATTTTTCTATTTAAAGGAGGGGAAAGGTACAGGCCAAAAGAGAAACAGCTTGGTTCTGGCCAGTTGCAGAAGGGCAGCAGCCCTGAGGGCTCAGAAGGACTGGCACCTCTGGCCACGGGCGCATGTGGCGCTGTCCATTCCACGGTGCTGAATACTACACACCAGGGCATTTCCCGCCAAGTTCAACCCCTCAGGATAGGAATAGGCTCAGTCACCGTAAACTGAACTCATTTCCCTCCGGGGGAAGGGGGGAGGTTCATTTAGACGTTTGTTTATTCTCTTTCCATGGGAAAACATTCTTCCACAAAGACACATTGTGCATTTTATGGGAAAGTAATGGCACAGTTTCAGTTCAACACCAAAGTGAAGTGCTCTACTGAACGAAAAATGGAGAGTTCAGAGTTAATGGAACCTGCTCTTTCTCTCCCTGAGTCAATGAAATGGCATTTGGGTCCCAAGGCTCCCTTGTTGATGAATAAAGAGAATTTATTTTCTGTTTTAAAAAATCATGTAATTAATCATTTTTATGATAAGCACTGTAAAAGAGGTGATACCAGGCTCTGCAATATCTGGAATAGAATTTTAGATATTGTTTTACTGAGGTTGAGAAACAGAGGAGAGAAGGAAGTAAACTTGTTAACTGAGGTGGTTTGAATTGTTAAAATATATTTTTTAAACTATTTGCTTTAACATTATCTTCCAGACATGCTCATTTTCTTAGGCAATTTAGGCCAGAATCTGGGCAGTAGAAGCCTCCCTCCTCTCTGCCCTCCCAGACTCTGTCCGATTTGAAAGACTTAAGAGCCCTGTTCTTCAGAGCAGGTGCTAATATCCACAAGGCCATTCTAAGAATCCTCCTCCCTCCTCCCCCCACCACGAGATAATCAAATAAATATAAAGAAAAGGGACAGAAGGTAGGGAAAGTGTGCTGCACTCCCAGTTTGGGGGAACACTTCTCTTTGAGAAGTGAAGGTGTTTCTCACGGCTACGGAATTTACAGACAGGGAGCAGACTTAACTGATCCCAGCAAACGGTTCCTTCCTTTTCTTAATCCCTCGCTGCTTATTTTAGCCGCTTCTCCACCCCGCCGGGAATACCATCCAGATCTTAGTCCAGGTAGATCTGACGTCAAGAGATGGCTTTCGTCGATTTGACGTGTAAACACTCATTTCCATTCCGGCTCGGAAGGGCTGGGGCTCCACTCAGCCGGGAGACCGAGGCGCTGCACTGAGCGCTCGCCGCCGCCCAGCCTCTCCTCGAGTGCCTATCTCTTAGCAGGACAACCGGGAGTGAGAAGTGGTCCAGATCCCGAGGGTGGAAAGGGCGAGTCTTTCTGGCTTTTCTCCTATCTTGCCTCTTTCCCCAATCTCCTTCCCACTAGTGTGCGAGCGAGTGTGTGAGCCATGGAGCAAAGAGCCTGGACTCTGCAGTGTACTGCTTTCGCTCTCTTTTGCGCTTGGTGTGCACTGAACAGTGTAAAAGCAAAGAGGCAGTTTGTGAATGAATGGGCGGCGGAGATCCCCGGGGGACCGGAGGCAGCCTCGGCCATAGCCGAGGAGCTGGGCTATGACCTTTTGGGTCAGGTAAGAGTTTGCACTTTCAGGAAACTTTCAGGGGCCCGAGGGGACTGGCGGGACTGAAACGCGATATCCCAAGTGGGAGCCCCAGGTTGCACTCTCCTGAGCTCAGTGGCAAAGAGCTGGAGCTTCTCCAGCTCTCGCCCCTGGCGCGGTTGGAGAGAAAAGGCTTGCATTATTTATTGTTTGGGCTGGGCGCAGCCAGGCAGAACGAAGCTGCTGCAGCTGGGTAGAGCTTATTCTTGCTGTTGTCCGCTCTGGAATTGAAATCCGTTCCCGCGCGGTTTGGAAGAAAAATCTCTCCACGCTTGCTCACGGAACTTGAGATGCACGCAGGCTCTTACCAACCAAGCGTCCCCGGGAGAGGCAGTGCGCTCCGTCGCCTGGTACTCAGCAGGTCTGCGTCAGGAGCGGGCTGTTTCCTTCTTTTCAATATGGCAGCATCAGTTCCAAGTCCTCATGCAAAGGGCCGAGCAGGCTTGGCGATGTCCGCCGGCAGGCTTTTTGAGCACACCCAGGGCGTTGGGAGAGCACCAACGGCCGGGACTCGCAACCCGGAGGCTGGGGGGCCACGGAGCGGCCTGGGTGGCCGGCGGGAGAAGAAGCGGGTGAAAACCATGGGACCAACTCTCCGCGTCTCCAACGGGAGCTCCAGGTTTTCACCGGGAACTTACCAAGTCCAAGCTTCACAACTTTGCTAGGTCAGTCTCCCTAAAGGAACAAGCTGCCGAATTGACTATGAGGAAAGGATTTCTTTCTTTCTTCTTCCTCAGCCAAATGCGTAATACCTTCCTCAGGGATTTCAGCTTGTGATGGAAACGGTTGCCTGCCCAAGTGAGGGCTGGGTTAATAGATAGCTGGGGGAGGGGGGCGTTAAGGCATTACAAGGGAGGCTGCTTAGCTGTGCGATTCCGGGGAACCCCAGGGGGTGTGTGTTCTAATCTAAGCTTTCTTTTCCTTGGCTCAGAATCAAGCCCTCGCCCCTTGCCTTGGAAGTTGGTGTGCATCAAAGCGGGGGAGGAGGGAGTTGTAAAACATTTTGGCGCGTTTTTTCTGGAGGTGGTGGTAGAGACGCTGCTGAAGTCATGGATGAGTAATCGGCGTGGGCGTTGGCGATTCCATAGATCGAATTCTCTGGGGAATACGCCATCCTTTGCCAGAGGCTTCATTCTCCAATTTTAGGAGCCAAACTGTCTTTGAAATGCCCAGCAGGAAAGTCAATACACAGATTGATTTCTCCGTGTCCCAGTAGCAGACCAAGACTTTTGCTTTTGCCCAGACCTTGTTCTGTGCTAGGCTCCGTGTTGGGGGCTGAGGAATAATAGGAGAAAAAGAAACTTTCAAGGAATCAAAAATCTGGAGGAGACTGGTTTAGAAACAAATAATTGCAGTTGCATGTAATTGCTACAGTAATAGAAGTTGGGCCTGGAGTCTCAATATTTGTTGATTGAAGGATTGAAGATGGAAAGGAACTGCGGAGGGGTGAAAGAAGGCAGCCCAAAGGAGGAAACATTTGCACAAGGTTTAGGAAGAAGAGTCAGAGGTTTCCAGGAGAACAGGATGAGATTGGAGAAGCCACTCCAGACATAGAAAACAGCTTGTGGGAAGCCAGGGAGATACAAAGAAAGGGGCTTAGTAGTAAGTCTGGAAAGGCTGCAAGGAATTGTTGGGATCTAAAGAGAGAGTGACTAGTGGATGAATTTGTACTGGTGGATACCGTGGGCATCATGGAAATCTTGTGCTTCCTATGGTGAGGTAAGGGGACTGGGGCCTTAATCATATATCCTTCTGGTAGCTAAATAGCACTGGTAACTGTGTGGAAGGATATTGGAGGAGAGAACAGAAAGTAAATCCCTCTTTCTTTTCTCACCTATTAGCCCCAGACATACATCCAAACCTGACCATTCATTATGGAAACTGCCTTTCAAAATCATAAATCCCAAAACTAAAAATAACAGTAAATCAGTATTCTTGGTAGGATCTTCAAGGAAGGGATGGCATAGTTACAAGAAGCTTTAAAAATAGTGAGAAAAACCATCTATATTTACATATGATTTGCATATGCTATATTTTCTCTAGCCATTTCCAGTTAAAATGTCGTTACTAACAAACATTTAAAAAATGATAACTTTTTGTAAAGGACTGATAGTGCTTTCCTGGTTCTGCTTATTTCTCCCTTATTAACTTAGCATCACTATCCTGAATTGCTTAAGGCCTCAAGATAAAACTAGGATTAGAGGGGTGACCAGAAGCAAAGCCAGTTGATAGCAGAAACAGAGCTAAGCATTGGTGATCTTTTCTTATGGCTACTGTTCTCTCTCCCCAATTCCATCTATAACTATAGCAGATTCACTCACTGAGGTTCAGGCTTGGAGCAGGGCCTAAGCAACTCTATTAAAAAATTCTCTAGGTGATGAGAACCACTAATTTGAAGAATGTCATTCTTCTGAAATAACCCATTGTCAATTGTTTGTCTCAATTAAAAAAAATACAGGGCATCTAGAGAATTTGCTAGCTTCAAATTAATACTATTTTGAATAAAGAAACTCTAGCTTAAGAGAATAATGAAAATAGTTCTAAATGGACCAAAGGTGTTGATAGTCACACAGAGAAGTTTACACACTCTAAGGTGGAACACTGTCATAAACGTGTGGCATGCTGGCTTTTTCCCACAGCCTTGAACTAGTGGAAAGTCAAATGGTCTAGTAGCTTATAAGACTCACTCTGGATTCAATGGCTATATTTTATAACGACAACAAATTGTTTGAGCTGAATGTGGCACGGATAGTACAGTTTGCCTGATTTCCACAGATTATTGTTCTCTAACAGGATAAATTTGATGAAATGGGTATATTTTTTTAGAAATGTCACCTGCACAATATTGTCACATAGAAAAACAAATGTAGTTCCTTTGAAATATGTGAAACATGAGCATCACTGGCCCCCAAGTATACTGCCAGCCCAAGTGATAATATTGTGAGGCTCATCTCACTCAACACATTGACAAGAAAAGGAAGGCTTCTATCAGTGTCTTCCTCATAAGGAAAAAATTTAACTTCAAGTACAAGGAATGGGCTTAATAAAAGTTGCCTGTCTCTAAGTTAGTTGGGGCTCAATCTAATCCATATACACTTATTTTGGAAAGCAGATTTTAATTTTTGTTCTTTTATAGATTGGATCACTTGAAAACCACTACTTATTCAAACATAAAACCCATCCCCGAAGGTCTCGAAGGAGTGCCTTTCACATCACCAAGAGATTATCTGATGATGATCGTGTAAGTGTTGTGTATTTGTCTTCAAACCAGTAACCTGACTTATCTGCTTTCTTTATAATTGCCAACAAGAGCAAAAGCACTTTGTAAATATGATTCTTTTTTATTTTGTTCATAATTATTTATCTATAGTTTTTCTTGTTATTTCCTTAGGCTTATAACTGCACATAATAATAACTGGATTGAATTGGATTGGGTTGGTTGAGTTAACTAAATTATATATATAAATACATAATATATATATAATACTAGCTCACAAGTCCAGTCTAAGAGCATAAAAGTGAATATTGAAAATCAAGTAGTAGCACTAATGAAAATGTTTGACAATAAAAATCAATCAACAGCCTTTTATTATATGCCTATTATGTACCAAGCACTTTAATATCCAATGTGGGCATGCCAAAGAAATACAATATATGAACCTTGCTTTTAATAACATTTCAGCGTAACTGAAAAAACATTGTGCCATTTCTATTTGGTTTGGTTATGTAGGAAACTAGTGTTTATCAAGGAGCTTTAATTCCATGTCTTCATGATGCAAGTGTTTTCATAAGTATTGTATTGTTTAATCCAAAGTGTTGGATCTCTTTTTATCCTGGTTTGTATACATATTCAATGATAAGGCAACAGCAGGAAATGGATATAGGTAAATAGTGTGGAGACAATTTGAATGTATATCTAATAGAGCTATCGATTTTTGAAGTATGTTGTTTTCAAGGTCAGCAAACATATCAATAGAAATATTGACTATATTGGGAGTATTGCAATTTATATACGAAATGTTGTCTTTTCTCAAGAATGTGCCATCCTGGTGGAAATTTATCCTGGCTGGCCTGATATTTGTATACATGATTTCTGTTGCCTAGGACACTCTAGAGAATATAGAACCTTCGAGAGAGATAGAACACATCCTTTCAACTTCCCAGAAAGAAAAGTGTAAGTGACAGAAAGGTGATAGAACTGTTGAAAGTACATGGAATTCATGAACCCTGTGGAGTAATTTGCCATTTTATTTGTTCTGCAACTGATAGAATTTTTTTAAAAAAGAGAAGGAGAGGGCAAATTATGAGAGTAAGGAATGACTGGGCCTGGGTTACCAGTGTTCAAATGTAAAAGCAGCAGCCACATCCAGACAAAGAATGCTGTGCCAGGACCACGGACAGCGACCCGCAGCCCATGCACACCCATTGCTAGCTTTTAATCAGGTTAATGGCTAGATGTGGGAGACCAAATCAGAGACCGTGAACATTACGTTAAAAGTTTCTTGTCCAGTGAAGTCTTCCCTTCGCCATCCCAAGGCAGATGGCATATTGTATGTGGGCTCTGAAAGATAGGACAACTTCCAGCACTCTGACTAGGCTTTGTCCTTAAGTAAAGCAAGACAGAGATTTCCTTATCTGCTTAACTGCATTCTTGACATTAATGCACAAGGAAGTTAAACTGAATTCCCTTCTCATCTTCATAGGAGAAAAGTGGACAGAGTGGAGCATACCTAGCTATTATTATTATTATTTTTTGTGTGTGAGGAGGACTAGCCCTGAGCTAACATCTGATGCCAATCCTCCCCTTTTTTCTTGAGGAAGATTGGCCCTGAGCTAACATCCGTGGCCATCTTCCTCTACTTCATATGGGACGCCGACACAGCATGGCTCAACAAGTGGTGCGCCTGTGCGCGCCCAAGATCCGAACCCGCGAACCCCTGGCCACCGCAGCAGAGCGCGCGCACTTAACTGCTTGCGCCACCGGGCCGGCCCCATACGTAGCTATTATTATTACTCAAAGTATCTCACTAAAATGAACAGATGGCCCAGTTCTATTCTTTAGCTATTTCCTTAATCGTTGATTTGAGGGAGAAATCTCAAGGCATAATGAAGAAGAGCTAAGAATTTACTCTCCAACATAACTTCATAAAAAAAGGAGTCTATATAATCCTATGAAAAAATGATCTTTAGAATAATTTTATTTTAGGAAAAATCATAGAAGCTTGCAGTGGAAGGTTGGACTAGATCATCTTTAATGTTCTTTCCAAATCAGAAGGATTACTTACAATTAAGTACATGATACCTATTATACACAAAATAGAAAGACACTACTAATTTGCTCTGTTCCATTTGATCTGCTCTTATAGAGATTAATACGGGATTGGGTTAATGGCATTAATCATAACACTGTTTCCAACAATTGGATGTTTATCCGATCAGATGGCAGAGTGCTTCTTCTTATATTTCATTTTTTAAAAATTGCTTTTGATTTTCATTTTATTGCTCTTTTTTTGGATGGGGATAATATTCTTTCAAATTAGTCCTCTGACATGCAGCAATAGGCTATCTTTACAAGTCCGTTAATGAAATCTCCAACTGTAAGTGACTCTTTCCCTCAAAGATTAGTACTTGTTCCCTAGCAGCCAGCTCCAAAGACCAACTCAGATGACAGGCAGTATATTCCAAGCATTGAGGTATTTTAAGCCAAAACAATTAACTTAAAAATACAGGCACTTTAAAAATAAATTATAGTGACTAATTTCTAGCTCTCGAGTCCCTCCCAATGTTTATAACAGGTCTGCAGTATACTTTCTAATTGAAAATTCAGGACAGTCTTAGTGGATGATTTTATCCTTATTTGCAAATTATTTTTCAGTTTTTATTTTTGGATTTGGCTCATGAGTATTATCACATTAACAATATCCCACCACACACTGGACTATCATCATGTGTACAATAGAGAGCATATGTTTTGGGTAGGAAACAGTCATGTTGCCCAGCAAAATAAGAGCATGGTATTATCTCATAGGAACTTCCCTAGTGGTCTAATGGTTAAGATTCTGTGTTCTCACCACCATGGCCTGGGTTTGTTTCCCAGTCAGGGAACCACAGCAACTGTCTATCGATTGTCACACTGTGGCAGCTATGTGTTGCTGTGATGCTGAAAGCTATGCCACTGGTATTTCAAATACCAGCAGGGTCACCCATGGTGGACAGGTTTCAGCGGAGCTTCCAGACTAAGACAGACTAGGAAGAAGGACCCACTTCTGAAAAATTGGCCATGAAAACCCTATGAATAGCAGTGGAGCGTTGTCTGACATAAAACCAGAAGATGAGAGGATGGCGGAAAAAGACTGGACGGAGTTCTGCTCTGCTGTATACAGGGTCACTAGGAGTTGGAATCGACTCAATGGTACTAACAACAACAAATTATCTCATAATAAATAGAACCACAAGGCAGCCCCTCGCCCTCACAGGACCTCAAGTATAATAGGATTATGCCATAAATGTGGGGCAGGTAATTTTTGTATTGTCAGATCTCTTTGCATAATACATGAGACTAAATTAATGGTAAGTGTGTATAGTCAGTAGTACTCATTCATCACCCTGGATCTGTTTCTCATATTAAATACTCTTAAATAGGAGGCTGAAGCACAGGGGAGCCAGAGTTTCAGATTTGCAAAGACACAGCACCTTTCTTGTCTTGTATAACATTTGCTATTTTTACCTTTTGTGTGTAAAGAAAGGGAAATTAAGCTGTAAGCATCAAACAGTAGTCTCTGGGATCTCTTAGCTTGTTGACTCATTTCACAAAAATGGACAAATTTTCAGCTACACAGCCCTGGAACCTCAATACAAAAATGGGTATTATGGTCCATTTGCTGGTGAAAGCTGGCTGAACTTTTACTTCCGCGGTAATCACAGTGTAAATAATTTGAGGGAATCATCACTTCACTGACTGCTTCTCCTCCCCCTAAAGGTACACTTTACTGTAATAGGGGAAATGTTTATCTCCCCAGTGGGTAATCCCTTCTTCTCACTGAGCTACCAGTTTGATCTGTAATCAAATGAGAACATTGTGGAGCTGCCTGAACTCTGATGGGAAAGGTACTGGAGCTAGTTAGAGGGAAGATGATTACATAGAGGTGGCTATTTTACTGTTGATTTTCTTGCTATAAAACTCCTTGTAGGTGATATGGGCTGAACAACAGTATGGAAAAGAGAGAAGTAAACGTTCAGTTCGAAGAGACTCAGCACTAAATCTCTTCAATGATCCAATGTGGAATCAGCAGTGGTACTTGGTAAGCACCGACCCAAGGACTTGTAGGACCTGGGTTATTTATTTTGTTGCATTTCCACAATAGATTTTTTTTTTTTAATGATGGACAATTCAGCAGAGGGCTATGTTACCTGGAGACTGGACTGATGGGACCTTCCATGATCTGGATCTTCTGTTTTACTAGGTGAGAGTATCTAAACACAGATCTTTAGCTGCTATGAGAGGAGAGGTTGTTGCCTTTTTGTCTTCTTAAGCTTGTCTGGAGTAAGTGCAGAAGAATCATATCTTGCAAGTTAGGCATTCCAAAACAGTACTCATGGCAAAAATCACGTTTGGTCAAAGTTACTCTTGAGAACCCTTTAAATCACCCAAAAAGTACAGTGAACATGACTGAGTATATACAGTCCTGAGTGGCAATTCATATATGATTACAGGTGAGATTTTTCTGAACTAGGCTAAAGGAAGAAACACAAGGAAGGGCAAAAAATATCTATTTGCAGATATCTAGACTTGCAGACCATTCTACCTTTAAAATACTAAATCCTTATTGGTATGTGGGTGTTGAGTGGAGAAATTGTTCAGGATTTTTGGGGAGATGGGAACATGGGACATCAAATAAAGCTTTGGTAGATGAGAAGCTTTAGCATATCATTATAAATGAAAGAAACTTAGGGACAAACTTCTTCTTTGAAGCCAAAAGGTTTAAAGAGAAGGGGCACAGGGTGATTCATCCGTTCGTGTGATTTTCCATTGGAACAATTGGGGAAAGAGCCACACTCTGATGATTCACTTGGCCCTCAACTTTGTTTTTCATTTCATCTAACTGCCTTCTTCTAAAGAGTAGAGTAACCCCAGGAAAAAGAAAGATGGCTCTCCAGACTGGAGCTTCAGTTCTCATTTCGCAGCAAGCAAATCATGATTTTACCAATGCTTCTTTGTTTTTCTTTACCAGCAAGATACTAGGATGACCGCAGCCCTGCCCAAGTTGGATCTCCACGTGATACCTGTTTGGCAAAAAGGCATCACAGGCAAAGGGATTGTTATCACTGTACTGGATGATGGCCTGGAGTGGAATCACACAGACATCTATGACAATTATGTGAGTCTGGGCCCTCCCGTGACTGCAACTTAGGTGCTGTCTACACAGACACACAGTTAGGGCTTTCCTTCCCTCAAGTGGGAGGCTGCTCTGATGTCAGCCCCAGGAACGATGGGCCAAGGTTTTGCCATTCCACTCACTCTCCTGCCAGCCCATGTGAACTTTTTTTTGTATCAGTGGGCTTTGAAAGAATTCAGTGGAGCCAAGGATTGTACAAAAGCATGTGTTTTGGGGGTGGGGGATGCACCTACACCAACTAAATTGCTAAAAGCCATTCAGACTCTATGCCACTCAATATTTGGGGCATTAAAACAATCAAATCTAGCCTGATGTCTGGGATCATTTTTGCAGACTTCCTCCTCCCATCCCTTATGGGTCATTATCTCTGACATTGTGAAATTATGTGAATATGATCCTTCCATGCAAAATCAAAGTGTACATTACACAGTGCAAAAATGACAAGAAAAGGAAATAAAAGTTTACTAGAAATGGAAAATAAGTAAATGAAAACTATTTCCTTCAATGTTTATGAAGCTCTCCATAATACCTTAGGACTTTAGATCAGTGTTTCATCTTTCAGATTGTCCCTGTCTTTCTCTCATCCTTTCCGCTCATCCAACATTCCCCAGCTAAAGAGCAAAGGAAAAGAGAAGGAAAAAAAGAGATGAAAAAAGTTAGTAGAAAGTAGGAATATTGAAAGATATGGAAAATATAGAAAAGTAGCAGTGTTGGTGATAGAATTCCTATGTGGGAGATGTTTAAGTGTAGCAGTCTGGTTGGAAAAGGGGGTGGGACCTGGAAGCTTGTCTTAAATTTCAAGCGTACTCCCTTTACTTTTAAATTACATGTTTATTTAGTGTAACTGGGGAGGCTGAAGGAGATATTGTGGACCTGAGCCCCAGCCCACAGCCACCTCTTTGTACCTATATTCACAAGAGAGATGAATGTCAAAGTGTCGCTAACTAGCTCCGTAGCTTGGTTAGGTCATTCAACTTCTCTGGGCCTCAATTTTCTTATTTGAAAAATGAGGTGATTGAACTAAGTAAACTCTGATTCCTTCTGGTTCTAATATCCTATGAGACTCTATGAGCTCTAGGTTTGGTAACATTTACCGAGAATTGGATGCTGGCTCGCTTTTCTGTGTACCTCATCTCTGCTTGGTTTATGGGTATAATAAATGATCAGTGAATGGGCCAGAAACTCTGAAATGAAGACTTTTGAGCTATCAGCCAGGAAGGGAATAGGATAGGGGTTGAAGGCTTGGGAAGTGCTGCTGTTTTTTTATGATGCTACAGTATTATTTTTGTTCTCTTTTTAGGATCCAGAGGCTAGCTATGATTTTAACGATAATGACCATGATCCATTTCCCAGATATGATCCCACAAATGAGAACAAGTGAGTAAATGTGGATTTGTGGGAGAAATAAGTACTTTAAAATGCTTTTATCTTATTTGAGGAAGTTATACTGTAAATATGATCCACATTTCATCTCTCAGAAAATGTTCATGTACACCATCCATACCACAATATTTTGTTGCTTTTAAAACAGAAACCAAAGCTTCTGTTTTTATTTTCCTTTTGGCTTATAGAACCATAATTCAATTAGACTTTCTTCTTATATTATGAAATGTTCCCCTCAAATGTTACTGAATAGTTACAGCTTTAGAAAGAATGTTTGGGACATAAAAAGTAAAAACCTTGAGGCCATCCCCCCTGCCTGAAATTCCTCTAAGAATCTTTTACTATTAGCAACATGCTTGATATTAGTCATGAAAAGAAATATAGATGACCAAAATAACAATTCCCCAGGACTTCCTGTGGTGGCCACAACCATGCTCATTAGTTCCCTCAGAAGAGCATGGCCAGACCCCAGACAAGAGAAATGCACCTTGAGGCCTGGCCCTCATCCAACACAGTCTCTGGGGCATTGGACTAGTTCATAGCCTGCTCCAGAGTTCTTGCTGGGTATTCTAAAGCTAAAGGGAAGAGAAAGAGAATATCTTCCAACTCCTAAATTAACTCTCCATAGCAGCTATAGGGTGATGAGGAAGGCCAAGAGCGAGACCTGCCGAAGCAAGAGGCCAAATAAAGACCCAGAGGCAAGAGATTTTTTAATCTTCTTTCCTAGCCCCAGAGAAACTTCGCCTTCTACACATGTGGCCTCAAGTGTGCATGCCCATGTGAGAACTCATCTTTGTGCATAATGGTCTCTCTGACAGACTCCAGGGAGACATTCATGCTTTCTTCTCTTCGTTTTTTCCACCCAGAAGAGACTTACACCAAAATAGATCAAAGCCAAGGCAAAATTAGGGTTTGCTGCTGTAAGTGGGGAGGGAAAGAGCAAGCAATGAAAGCTCTGTGTGGATGCCATGTAAAGTGCTTCCCTTTTCCTTCATATTGCTTTCTCTCTCTTGGACTATTACCCCACTTGGGTCAATCAAGTTCTCTCTCTCTCTCTGTCTCTCTCTTTTTCCCCCTCTCTCACTTTCTCTCTCCCTTTCTCCCTTATTTTCTCTCAGAAGTCCCATGTGGCTTGTGCAGTAATATTGACCTAAAGTTGTTTCTTTGGATGGTCCCCCCCAGAAGGCCAACAAACTCCAGGAAGGAAGGCTGGGGCCCATGGACTTGGCCTCAACTTCTGGGTTTATATTTCTTCCATTCTCTTCTTCTAGGGTTATTTCTTAAAGGGGTTAACCGCAAACGCTCTCTAGAGATTAGAACATTCTAGTAACACTACAACAGGAACCGTGAAGAGGCACCCTTGGAAGAAAGTGGGATGTCTTAGAAACTTACAGCAGGGCCCCCAGACAAACTTTCAGCCATATTTCCGAGTCAGGGCAGTGCAGGACCAGGAGGACCACCTGCTCTTTTGGAGCACGACCCCGCAGTGTTAGCCTGGCTGGTAGTCATGGTTTTGCAGATTACCAGTATAGACGGTGACCTTGAGGAAATCACTTACCTCTCTCTGCCTCTATTTTTTATTTTGTCTCCTAAAATGTGTGACATGGCACCTGCTCCCTACACTCGTAAGAGGAACTTCCTAAGAAAATGGGCAATAAGTGCTTGGAAGAAAGGAGCACCTTTCTTAGAAAGAAGTAAAAGTGACAACTCTCATTCCACCCCCTTGGTCAAGACTAAGAGGGAAATCTGCTCCAAGCCACATGGGGCAGCTGAGGAAACTGTTAGCTGGATATGTCAGCCTCCTTCCTAGGCAGTATACCCTGGGTCTGGCCCCAGGATCCAATGTGAGTGATAATTTGTGTGATGGCTACATGATAGGGGAATATTTGGTGAAATAATATTCTCTAGAGTTTCTCTACGCATGATAAGGGGGACTCAGATATTCTTCTTTCTTTCCCCAAAAAAGAGGAACGTAACATCACAGTATTTATAATAGCCAAATTTCCCCCAACTCATGGAGCTCCAAAGGCCTCTAGGAAGCGGCCCATGTAATGATACTTATTTTGGATCTGAAAACTTTGAGCTTCCAGAACATAGCCTGCCATGTATCTTCCACATAGCATAGAGTTAGTGTGGTATAGCCCAACAGTTAAGAGTACGGACTTTGCAGCTAGATTTAGATCAAACATTAGATCTGCCACACGATAGTTGAGTGACCTTGAGCAACTCATTTAACTTCTTTGTGCCTCAGTTTTATCATCTATTAAAAAGGGATAATAATAGTATCTACTTCATTGGGTTATTATGATTAAATGAGTTTATATGTGTAATTGGCTTGGATAGTGACCGGTACATAGAAAAAGTTGTGTTTGTTATGATGATGATGATGACAATGATGACACTAATGACAATGATGATGATCAAGGCTTTTCATTTAGCAACTAAGGTAGACCTCCTTTCAGTGAGAAATCAGCATGACAAGAATAATATCATCCGATAGGAGCAGAAGCAGAGACAAGTCAGTTTTCTAAGCCAATTCAGAATCTGCTATTTGAAAATTACACAATAAGCAACTATCTCTCAGGGTCTTCTTAACTGTAAACCAAAAAGGTAGCATCCCTATTATTCATCAAAAGGTATAATAAAAAATACAGGGGCCGGCCCTGTGGCTGGGCAATTAAGTGCACGCGCTCCGCTACTGGCAGCCCGGGTTCGGATCCCGGGCGTGCACCGAGGCACCGCTTGTCCGGCCATGCTGAGGCCACGTCCCACATACAGCAACTAGAAGGATGTGTAACTATGACATACAGCTATCTACTGAGGCTTTCGGGAGAAAAGGGAAGAAAAAGGGGGAGGATTGGCAATAGATGTTAGCTCAGGGCCGGTCTTCCTCAGCAAAAGGAGGAGGATTGGCATGGATGTTAGCTCAGGGCTGATATTCCTCACACACACACACACACAAAATACAGTTACCCTTTTAGCATGTTGTCAGAAATAAATCCCTTAGGTTTGGAAAATGAATGGCCCCATTTTATCTTGGCCTTTATTGCAGTTAGAGAACTACTATCTCCCAAGTCCAAAGGGATTATCTCTCCAAACTATCTGTGTGGCTGCTGTTCTTTATTACTATGTAAATGAGATTAATAGAAGCTGCATTTGAATCTCCTCTGCAAATCAAAAGAGGAATCACTAAATAATAAAATCTTAAAAGTGCAGGTAACTCTTACTATTAAGCTGGCATGAATCTGTATTTAGTATTTCAACACCAATTACAGATTATTTTTCTAGTTAAATAACATGTGTGACAAGGTATTTTAACCAGTATAATAGTAGTCTTTAAACTATCTTGTGCAATAATTTTTGAAAAATCAATTTGTTTAAACTCTACTTACTACCATTGTTCTAAGCTAATAGAGGGTTCTTTTACCTCAGCGCCTGACTTAAGGACAGAAAAAAAGCTGCAGGCCTATAAAGAATGACATAGAACAACTTCAATAAAGTCTTCGCTTTTTCTCAAGGTGTGGAGGTGGGAAGTGAGGATAAGAGGAAGGAAAACTATCAACCCCTCTTTGTACCATGATCCCATCGCACCTCCCAAGACAATAGTCCTCAGTATGTAATAGAGATAAATAATAGGTGGTGTGACATTGCATCATTTTTAGGACAAAGGTACAAGCTGGGGATGTTTGCCAACAGGTTGATTCTGTTGGCTCTGCCGGAGACTTAGCTATCCTGGGCCCTGTTTCTCATCCTGTATAAAGAAATACAGGTGGCGGTGACTTTTGGGAGAACATTTCCCAGAGGATGACAACTGAATTTCTAAAAAGGCAAAGAGGGCTAATCCATCAAAGAAGCATAAAGTCCTTTCTATGTGTTCAACGTGCAAACATTTCTCAGAGAATGGGTGTGTTGGTCAGGATAGCTTCAGTTGTGAGTGAGAGATCCTAACTCAGAGATTAAGTAAAATGGGGATTTAAAAAAGAAAAATCAGGGCCGGCTCCGTGGCTTAGTGGTTAAGTGCGCGTGCTCTGATGCTGGTGGCCTGGGTTCGGATCCCGGGCACGCCCCAAGGCACCACTTCTCCATCCAACCCAAGGCCGAGTCCCACATACTGCAACTAGAAGGATGTGAACCTATGACATACAACTATCTACTGGGGCTTTGGGGGGAAAAAATGAATAAATAAAATCTTTAAAAAAAAAAAATAAAAAATAAAAAAATAAATAAAAAAGAAAAATCACCTAAGGGATGCTTTAGCTTAAGGCATTGCAAGATCCAGGAACTCAAATAATATGCCATCAGGGCGCCACCATTCTCTCCATCTCCTAATGCTTCTTGCCTCCATTTAGCTTCATTCTCAAGAGAATCTTGCCTGGCAGAAAGATCCACATGGCTCATATGGAACTTAAAGCTCAAGATTTTGGAGAAAGAATGTAATTCTATTCCCCAGAATCTGTATAAATCCTTGAAAGCTGTCTGGGAGGAGGAGCCTCGAGATAGAGAGAATCACAAGGAGTGAGGAAGGGCCACTTCCCAAAAGGGGAAAATGGTAGGAAACAAGAAAGAAGCAGATGTCTGCTGTGTTAGTGAAGACCTTGAATTAAAGAAAATTATATACTCTTCTGATCTAGGATTCCTATCCAGTATTAACAAGAAAAAGAAGAAACATCATTTAGTGGAAGAAAACCAGGAAATCATCTTTGGTACTTTAGGAAAAAAAGATAAGTGAAAAACAGAATTATTTTGAAGGGCCCAGTGAACTTAGGATTTTTATGTTCCATGCTGGGCTAAATTAACAGATGTCTAGTGCGGCAGTGTCTAAAAGTCACTAGCTGACAGAGCTGCTCAGAGCGAACCCTTCCTCTCTTTTCCTCTCTGTCAGCCTGTCTGGCCAATGGCTCCTCCAAGGCACCAACAGCCTTCACACTGCCCCTAGGTGCTTCCACAATGGAATAACGTCGTGAAATAAATTCACATTACAGTTCTCTTGACTTATTGGCCCTCCTGAGTTCAGAGGGGTGGCGGGAAAAGACAATTACTATCCCCAGAATTTCAGAATTCATGCTTTAGTGGTGGACTTTGGTATGTTTTAGGGATGAATTTGTTCTCCTAAATGCTCTGAAATCATAAATTACTCCCTTTGTCTGATTGTAAAACCAGTCTTGTTCAGGCCTCTGGCCCCAGTCAGAGTTGCAGGAGCACCCCGGTTTCCCGATTAGCCTGTAGTGTCTTGTTAAAATCTCAAACTCCTCTTGGTACCAGAAAACCCTCAGATGTTTTAGTTTGGTGTATGGTTAGAAGAGGGGAGGAGGGCTTGAGAGGGGACTCTGTTCTATCATATCCTACCAGGGCTGGCCCAGGATAACCTAATCCAAGGAAGTCACTAGTGGGGGAAGTGGGGAGCTACTTCATCACCAAAAAGTATGATACAGAAGCCATTTCTTTGAAAATGTTGCTGAAAGTGTCAGATTTGCTCATAATAGTATCCATAGCTAACACTTCCTGGGTTCTTACTATGTACCGGCCACTGTTCTAAGTGCTCTACATACAATATCTCATGTGATGCCACAACCCTTTGAGGACAAGTAAGTTCCCCAAGATCACGCCACTAGTTGGTGGCAGAAGCTACAATTTGAACTCACATACTCCGGCTCCAGGACCTACATCTGATACCTGTACTTCATCTAACACGGATGGGAAGAAAGCTACAACAAGGCTGAAAAAAAGTTAATATATTCATGTACCATGGATTCATGTGCAAAACGAATTTTTGTCCTCATTTATATTTTATAATTCCTATTTTTTTAATCCTCAGACATGGGACCAGATGTGCAGGAGAAATTGCCATGCAAGCAAATAATCACAAGTGCGGGGTTGGAGTTGCATACAATTCCAAAGTCGGAGGTAAAGCAGAGGGCTGTTCCTGTAGTTTTTCACCTTGAGTCTTGCATCACCTGGTATAAATGAGGTGGAGAGGGGGACTTACAACAATCAGAGGAAGAAATGAACTCCATGTAAAATTTGCAACAGGACTTGAGTGTGATTTGCAAGCAAATCAATGGATCTGGATTCCTAGAAAATGATAGCTGAACATAGCCTATAAGTCTTGTGGGGGAAAAAAGTGGAAACATTGAACAGTTTTTGAACAAAGTCTAATTTTCTCTGTGTTCTCATTTAGACGGATTTGCTATTGAGTGCTTACTAAGGGAGCAAAAGGAGGAGGTAAATGTAGGCAAAGACCTTCTCTACCTCTCAATTCTGTAGTTCTTCATTTCAGAGCAAAGAATAGTTTTTAAAAATAAAACATGTTTGTTATATTAAGAAGCTAAAGATTGTCTCTGATAGCAAGAATTCAGAATCTCTAGTTCTTTCAGTCAGCGTCTTTATGGGGAAACATATGTAAGTTCCATCAGGGCAATTTAATAATGGAACCCTTTACAAGAGTTAAAGGAAACCAACCAGGGGCTAACTAGTGTAGGCAGATGTTACCACCTTTAGGCCTAAAGGAGCAGGGGGTAGGAGAGGTCAGTAGAAACCAGAGAGAGAAAGCTGTGGCCATTGGAGAGAACCACTGAATAGGAGCCATGGCCTGAGTACCACAACAGAGCTACTTCCAGGCAAGGAGGATCCAGGGGAATGAATACCTCACTTTTCTCTCATCCCCCAACCTGCTGCTGCTGTCTTCAGTTGGCTGAAACCAATGGAAAGGCAAGAGAACCCACTGGCACAGTCCATGTTCCTGTGAGAAGGTGGAGAGCGGATCTGCAGGGATTCACAGACAACATAATAATTGTCTCTCCTCTTTACACTATCCCTACCTCAGGCTTTCACGGTTATGCTATAAACTTAGAGTTTCATTTGTTTTCAAAAACTATAACCACAAGAAAGATCAATTGTAGAACATGTCAATGACAGTAAAACTCCTTTAAACTCTACAGAAGTATACCTTGAGTTTGGTTATGTATTCCTTTTTAGAAATCAAACAAATATACATCCTGGCATAGACAATGTATCTCTTACTAATACAGCTCACTTAGATTTTAAATGTTATTCCTAATTCCTTTGATACTAGCTTCGTCAAAGTGCCATGTTAATTTAAAGAAAATGAAGGCAGAAGCACAAATTATGTAATTACCTAGAAAAGAAATCACTTTTTAAGTCAAGATGAATTGAGTAGCTATAGTTTATGAGAGAATCATCTGATCCCCTCCTTGTCTAGGGGAGGAATCAGAAGCAAGATTGTCAAGGTAACAGTTTGTGGCAAGATAGCACTAAGTCACAAGACTTCTAATTCCAAGTCTACTGATTTTTTTTATTATTCCACCTTTGATGGTCTAGCCCCAAATGCATTTTTTAAATAATACTTTTCATTTATTAGGCACCTACTATATGTCCATCACTTACCCAACAACACATTATAGGCGGTGCATCCTGGAAGTTAACAGGATGGATTTAGGTGTCAGATTTATGGAATTCAAGTCCCGGCTCCCCAATTTCAAGCTGTGTGGCCTTGGGTAAGTCACTGTTCCTCTCTGGCCTCAATCTCTCCACCTGTAAAATGGGAAGAATTACAGCACCCACCTCAAATGGTTATTGTAAGGATAGATGAGTTCATATGTGTAAGGCCTGCAGAATGGTAGCTGCATATAGTATATTCTCAATGCATGTGAGCTGTTATCATCCCCATTTTACAGTTGAAGAAACTGAGGCACAGAGAGGTTAACTGGCTTGCCCAAGATCACAGAGCTAGTCAGTGGAAGAGCTGGGATTTTATTTTCCCAAATGCATTTTGAAACAATTTTTTTTATAAATATGACTTTCACTAATCATGTCAATTACATGTCTTTTACCTATGCTCCATAATAAAAAATGGTGTGAAAATCTCAGGCTGTGCACTCCATTGCATTTTCAGCCTGAAGCTGGGAAAAACCAGGTAGCTGCCTGTATCTGTCTAACTTGCTTTTGCCTTCCTGGCTCTTCAGTACATGAGTCTGATGATGGGTGACAGCCTGTTGGAAAGCACAAAGAGCTACCACATCTGCCTTCTCCAGATGAAAAATGATTCCCCCTCAGGAGTGAAATCCATGGCAATGATTTCATCTTTGAGATTATTTAGAAGAAAAGGAAGCATGTTCCTTGAAAATGTTTCTTAGCAAATACATAATAGAATGGCCTCTGGGTTATTTTTAATCGTGCTTAGAAACAAGAGTTCTTTCCTTATTTTTTAGTTTTCTATTGTGGGTAGATCTTTTCAAGCTGCTTGGTTTCCCGTACAGAGTCCATTGTGTGGCAGAGGCTGGGCCACAGCCGTTCGTGGCATAGTCATGAGCCCAAGTGTCGAGGGACGGCTGTTTGATGCCTCTTTCTGAAAGCTATCTTGTTATTTTCAGGTTATTGGAGTAGTGGAGGGAAGGGAGACATTCTGTAATCGACAGCAACCATGGCCACTGCACGGTGCATATAGTTATCTCTAAAGGGCAGATAAGAAAGCTTATGGAGGCAGTGACTTGTATCTTCCTTCTGTGCTGTTAGCAACTGAGTTACAGGCATTTAGGACATCCAGTGGTTACCCTGTTTTCAACTCTTTTGAGAGTCCTTTAAAAAAATGATTAAAAGCATTGTGCCATTTTACATGTACAGGCTGACATCAACTTATGTATTGGTTCATTTGTTTTGCTGTTCAGGCATAAGAATGTTGGATGGCATTGTGACCGATGCTATTGAAGCCAGTTCAATTGGATTCAATCCCGGACATGTGGATATTTACAGTGCGAGCTGGGGCCCAAATGATGATGGGAAAACTGTGGAGGGGCCTGGCCGACTAGCCCAGAAGGCTTTTGAATATGGTGTCAAACAGGTGAGATGCTTAACATAGACCCACCTACAATGAAACCTGACCATTTGGAAAAGAGGAGAAGGGAATTAATTTATATGAAAAGAAATGGTTGTGGATTTCTTGTCATTGCTTACAATTTGAAACACATTTAGAGAGCCAAATCATTCTTCAGAGGGATGGAAGTTAAGGGTTAAGAGAGTTTTCTCCATTTGGGTCTGACATTCAACAGAGTATTTATTTAAAAAATACTCTGGATATGCCCTTTCTCATATTCCTACTGCTTTTGGATTTTTTCACTAGGTAAATTACTACCCAGACTTCTTTGAAATGCTCTGAAAATGCATCCTTAGATGCATCCTTAAATACAGCAATGTGCTACTTCCCGCTCTGCATGCGCCTAGAGAATTGCGCCTTGGTTGTGTTGCTCTGTCACTTGGGTTTACTGTATTCTTGCCAGGATTCTAAGGCCTTGTTTTGCACAGGATAAAACAAAAGTAGAAACTTCTGAGAGCACAAATTGAAAAACCATAGAAAGAGTAGCCTTGACGAGTTCTATTCACTTGAAGAGTCCCTTTTAATGCAGCTGCAAAGCAGATCTGAATAATGCCTGATTTTGTCATTCTATCAGTCAGCCAGAAGATTCAAGCAGAAAGAAAGAGAGGAAGTTCAAAGATTCAAGAGTAGTGACATAAGCCAAGGGAAGAGTGAAAAAATATAAGTGCTAAAGGCCAGACTATGAATCTGCGTAAAAAAGAAAGAAAAGCACTCGCTCAGCCCCATCCCAGAGCTGGCCCAGATGAGGGAGGATGGCAGAGCCAGAGCCCAGTAGCTTATAATATGCAGTCTCGTGAGATTTCCAACATTGATGCTGGAGAACCTGGAGTTGAAACAGACTCCAAATAACTGTCTCAGAGAACTTCATGCATATATTTGTTGGGGATTTTATTGGGGTGTGACAGTGACCCCCAATAGATGACAATAGATGTGATATATACTATTCTGGCTTGTCCTTTAGGGGAGACAAGGAAAGGGCTCCATCTTCGTCTGGGCTTCTGGGAATGGGGGGCGTCAGGGAGATAACTGCGACTGTGACGGGTACACGGACAGCATCTACACCATCTCCATCAGCAGTGCCTCACAGCAAGGCCTGTCCCCTTGGTACGCCGAGAAGTGCTCCTCCACTCTGGCCACCTCCTATAGCAGCGGCGATTACACCGACCAGCGAATCGTATGTTGCTTTTGTCTAACTCACTTTGCTTAGGTAGGAGAGCACGGCTTGCGTTCAGAAGGATCCTTCGGTCAGTACCCTTGGTAAAATTGATTTGCTTAAGCTTGATGTCTCAGCTAGGGAGACTCACGCTTTCCTCGCTTGAAAGCCTGGCGTATATTGGAAAGTTTTCTCTCTCAGGGATAATGACGCTTCTGCCAAGATGATGTGGCCTCTCTGTCATTTTTAAACTCAGCCCTGAGAAGCCACCAACCTGTCATTCCACACAGCCAAGACTCCAAATGTCTATCCGGCTTGTGTGACACCTTCCTGAAAACAGCCTTAAAGGAGATTTCGGGGTTGTAGAGGCTTTATCACCCCTGTACTTGTTGATCCTTTAATATCAGGGATGTGGTCTGACTTGCCCTTTAGCAGATGATAAAAATACAGAGCATACACCAGCTATGTCTCCTAAGAACGGACGACCTGCAGGAAAATAACGGTCTAAATTTCCCCTGAGGTGAACTTCTCAGCATCCAAATAAGCATCTCAGGAAGGTTATATTCTCAGAGAGCATCTCCAGCCCACGCTTGGCTGTGTCTTGGCTTCCATGAGTCAGACTGCCAAGGGCAATTATTGGATTTCCCTTCAAGGGCACAATGATGACGGCCACCAGGGGCTTTGAGAACAAAGAGAGGTGCTTTTAATTTAAAAATTTAAGGCCCCAAATTTAACTCCTGACACAAAAAGAACCAACTAGCTAAAATATGTAGATCCTAATCTTGATGAAATAACAGGTCATGATCCAATTAGACTGTGGGTGAGCCCCATAATAATTAGACCCTGGAATGTGTGTAAAATTTGTATTAATTGCATCTCAATTAAATTGTCAGAACTACTATCTTCTTCACACAGGATCACTATTCTGGAACTCTGCTTGTTTCTGCAACCTACTCTAGTTTAGACAGTATAAAAGTGTGGTCTCCACTTAAAAGCATCGGCTTACCTCTCATGCCCACATCTTCAATTACTCAAATAATAGACACTGACATTCTACCCAGGGGTCCTTTCTGGCAGGCATGTTTTATAACCTTTGAAAGGGGCATATCAGACATGGGCCCCACTTGTGTTCAGAGCTCCCGGCTGTTGTTGTCCCTGTGGGTGGCCAGAGTTGCTTTTCAGAAAATGGCCTGTTATGCATTTCAGAGTCACCATTTCATAGACTGTCCCTCATCTGAGCTACTCTGTTCTGAAGTAGGAGGAAGAGTTTCCATTTTTGTAAAGATCCCTCCTTAGGTAAATCAGCCATAGGAGAGACAGCTGGTGGATTCTATTTGAGACGGTTGCAATAACATAGCCTTTGTTTTACGCAAACCTCTTCCTCAGCACAGTCATCTCTGGGGGTTTACTTACGTCAACAGGTAAAAAGGGCAACCTTGCTTCCGCAGCCCTCTGAGGAGCGGAGCCATCATAACTTTAGAAATTCAGTGACTCCAAGTGGGAAGCCAAAGGAGGTGATAATAGAACAAATTATTTTTTTACACCTCCCTCCCACACACTGAAGTCTCTAGCTAAAACCCGTAGTGCAGGGCCCTGGGTGGGTGTCTTGTTAGTAATCCTTTGGCCCAACTACTTGTTCAGCCAGCAGCGCTGTGGTCCTTAAAGCGGACGATTGGAAGTCTTTTTGGTTTCTTCCTTTCATCTAGGAAACCTCTTCATTAAGTTAAAATTAGCCTGGGTAATTCCTACATTCAATAATATTGTGCAAAAATGCTTTCACAGACAGGATCTCATTTCAGCCTCAGAATACGGTCAGGAAATGTCAACCTCATTTTACAGATGGAGAATCCAAGTGACTTGCCCCTGGCACAAACCTACTGAGTGGCAGTTTTGGAATTTGAACCCAGATCTAAGTCTAGCACATTTTCCATTTCAAAAACTCACCATTTTCCTCAAAGTGCAAGTGTGGACACTAACTCATAGGCATCAAATTATGTCAACAGTGAGTGTAAACTACATCCTAAACAATTTTGTGCAAGTAGTTCAAGTGGCCAAAATCAGGGTGGCATTACATCCTTGAGCTGAAGAGGCAGTCAAATGTCAATCTGAAGGCAAAAAGGAGTTTTGCATGAGGCAGAATTTCTAAATATGCCAGACCAAACACAATGGACCTGATGATTAATGGGCCAGCATGAGTCACATTGATTTTGAAACAGTCCCCTTTTTACAGACAGCATTTTGTTTGGGAATCTCAGAAGAGAAAATATTCATAGTGGGAGGACTTCATCCCCAGAAAAGGCATCCTGATGCCAGAATTATAAAGTTGCATATAGAGGAGAGTGAACTAAAATATCAGCAGATGGCAAACATCCGCCTGTGGTTTAGAGGAGGAAGCAGGGAATCGAATCAGCTGAGTTTCCTGATCAGAGCAGATGCAGCCCTCAGGCGTTAACCCCTGGGGACAGGATCACACTCCTCACATGTTCTCCCGCATTTCTTTCCTCCCTGATGCCACCCAGACGAGCGCTGACCTGCACAATGACTGTACAGAGACCCACACGGGCACCTCGGCCTCGGCACCCCTGGCTGCTGGCATCTTCGCTCTGGCCCTGGAAACAAAGTAAGGCCCAGAAAGCTTCTAATCACCTTGACTAAGGCTGCTTCTCCTTCTTTTTAACGACATGTATTGTTTTCTGAATACATGGTTACAGTAGAAAACTAAGAAAAGTACAAAAACTAATAAAAATAAGCTCTCTTTCTGTTAAGATCTCAATGGAGATTTAATACACACACATCTTATAAAATTGGGATCTTAATATACACGTTATTTTGTAATTGTTTTAATCCACTCTATAATATTTTAAGAGCACTTTCTCATGTCTAAATCAATCTTCCCTGACCTGTAAAACCTCATGCTCTCCTCCTGATCCTCCTCCCACTCAGCCACAAGGCCTTCTCACTTCTGTTTATTCCCACCAGGAAAGATTTTGTCCAGATAATTTCCTGTGGATAGTGTCAGGAACAGCAAGTTTATAAAACATCCTTTTATTTCAGATTGTATAAGCCTAGTCCTAGAGCTGATATAACACATCAGGGGATGTGAAAATTAAAAACAGGATTTTTGGTTTTTTGTAGTATCTATTATATAAATGCAAATTTTATTAAAATCATCTAATCATGCTTAAACACCCTTGTCCATAAATATTGGTTGTCATTTCTGAGTATTTTCTCAGGATAAACACTCACAATTGGAATTTCTGGGTCAAAGGGCATGCATGTTTTAATGATTTTGATACATATTGACAAGTTACTGTCTAGAGAGACTGTACCATTTTATATTCCCACCAGCAACTTCTGTGTGAACATGCCAGTTTCCTAAACCTGTACTAAAGCTACTTTTATTAGCTTTTAAAATGTTTGCTATTTTGATAGGTGAAAATGGTATCTCATCTTTATATGCTTTTATTTCATTATTAATGAAGCTCAATATTTTATCTTCTTTGACCATTTATCATCTGTGATTGCTTAGTTATGACCTTGATTTTGTTTTATGGGCTTAGTTTAGGAAAGCTATTAATGCTTGGTTTGTTTGACATTTACCTGTTAATTTTATTTGTATATAGTTTTTAATGTTATGAAGGTAATATGTATACAGTTATATTTGTCAGTCTCTTTCTTTAAGGCTTTTTCCTTTGCTTTTAGGCCTAGATAAGTCTTTACAACCCAAAATTAGATAAACATTTGTTTATATGTCTTTTATTATGGTTCCTTTACCATATTTAAGTTCTAAATCTCCCTGGAATTTATTTTAGTGTATGATGTTAAAAGGGGATTTAACAACATTTTTTCCCCTCATAATAGTTACCCAATAGTCTAATACTTAATACAGAGGAAAAAATCTGTCTCACACTCCATATTCACAACTTTTTATTTGTCCTCATTTCTGCTTTCTGATTTTGTGTGGTGAGAAATCATTAAATGTCAAGTCAGGAGCTATGGTTGCATGATAGAGGAAGTGATTAAACTTGTAAGTTACTATTATTTTTCCTAATAAGGAGGTTATCCTAGAAGAACATCCATGTTCTCCAGAGAGACGACAAAGCAGTCCTCTCATGTCATACCGAGTAGACGAGGTTCACACGGCAGAAGAGTAGAACACCTTGGCCTGTGCCACAGCTGCAAAAGCCCTGAAGTTGCTGAGTCTTTGTCCAGGAGAGTCCAGCACAGCTCCAGGAGCCCTGCAACCACCTGTGGAGTTGTGGTTTAGTCCCTGGTATCTCAGCTATGAGATGGCCACAGTGGCTAAGCAAGACAGGCCTAGCAAGGCTCTTACCAAGAGTCTACCTACTTGGAGGGGCTGGGAAGATATCTGACAAGGGAAGAGCTAATCCAAGAGCTCAGTCAGAAACAGGGAAACTTGAAGCGCTTGGGCCCAACAGAAGAGCTGTGTTCAGAATCTGAGTTCACTTGTAACAGGAAGAGGATGGACAGAGGGCAAAGTCTACAGACACAATCTAAGACTGGCATCAGCAAATTCAAACCAAATTTGAGGAATAATATCTAAGCAGTGAAAAGTACAAGGAACACCTGGCTTCAGGCTTGAGGCATAAGTCTAGCTATGTGACCTTAGGCAAGTTAATCCCCAGTTGAGAGCTCAATTTACCATCTATAAAATGAAGGGGTCAGATCAGACCATTTATTTCAAAACTCTTCCCTTTATAAAAGATTCTCCAAGTTATAATGGAAGGTGTCAGCATATATAGATCATCCCACATGAATTGTTGAGGTTGGTGGTGAGAGATCCAGAGTGGAAGAAAATAAGGTCCTATAAAGGCAAGCAGTTGCACACAGGTGGTGAGACAGGCTTATAATATTTATAACTTCAGGATATAAACTGTTAGCTCCACGGAGCTGTTAAAGGAAAACCATCCTTAAAATTTTAAGTCTTCTCTACTCAAAACCTATCAGATGTGTGTAAATGTAATTAGTCAGGCCTAGCCCATCCTTGTCTAGTGACCAGTGTAGTGGAAACACCATCTAGCTCAATAGATGTAATGTTAATTTCACATAAGAACTGAAATTTTAAAATTGTAGTCTCTGATTTTTAAAATTTCAAACATTTTTCTGTACGAGGAGAAAATGATCTAAGAATGATCTAGCCTCATTAATCTCAGTTAATTTCTAATGGACTGTTTATAAAGCGAGGGCTCCATGGATTGCTATGAAATATATGGATGAGTTTCCAGGGGTCCATGATCTTCTTTGAAACTAGATGCAGAATGTTTTGTGAGTGTGTGTATGGCATTTTCCTGAGGAGTGGTTTGTAGGTTCCATCAGATTCTCACACTGTTTGTGATTTAAGAGCTATTAAGAGTCTATGATCTCCCTGGTGCATATAATAAGAATTTCATTGCTTTTGTTTCGATTCAATCATCAGTAAGATGAACACACTCTATCTTAACCTTCATATACTTCCTGCCATAGTACACAGAGATTATCGAGATGTCTGTTTTCATGTGGACAGTTTTCTGAACTCTATTCAATTGTCTATACCAAGGCGATTATTTCAGAAAATCTGAATGCCAGAACTCCCAGAAGTGTCCCTAGATAGTCAAGATTAGAAGAACCATTTAACCATGTGCCACTCCTCAAGGAACAACTATGGAGACTGAAGAACTCTAGGCTCAATTTATCAAGAATAATAACATTCAGTATTTATCAGGTTCTTCCTATGGGCCAGACACTGTGCTAACCTCTTTATAAACAATAACAACATCCTTGTGACATAGAAATTATTAGTTGCATTTTATAAATGAAGAAACTGAGATTGAAGAGGTTAAGAAATGTAACCAAGATCCCACAAAGAGATTCAAAATCATGTCTATCTGACCCCAAAACCTGTGCTGTCAGTAACAACACTGTACTCCCTCCCATAGCCCCGTAAGGTAGAGGAAATGTTGAGTGCCAGCCTATCATCCCCTCAAAGAAAGGGGGGTTAAGAAGATGGAGGCTCATAAAGGAACATCATAACTCTCATGTGTTTATGAGTTCCTCATCAAAGGCTCCTGTCACAAGCAGACTACTTACTATGCTGTGTTAAATATGACATGGCTGGAACACTGGGGAATGGGAAGAGGACAGAGAAGGAGAAACAAGGGTTTCTGGCTCAAATATGTATGGAGGAATACTTTCCTTCCCTAGAATAGTGTTTCTCGAACACCAGCACACATAATAATCACCTTATTCTGTATAAACCTTGGGAGTTTGTTTAGTATGCAGATTCCCAGGTCCTATTGCCAGCAACTCAGATCCAGAAGTTTCTGGTATTTGGCCTAGTAATCCCCATTTTTAACAAGTATCCCAGGCAGTTTTAATGCTGGTAGTTACCTTAACCAAATTTTGAGAAACAGTTGCTATAAAGAGTTACTTTACAACTGTGTTTTCCCACAACCTCATCTGGCTGTGATTGGGAAAATGCCCATTAGGGTACTTAGTAAGCATATCCTGGAGAGGGAGAAAAAGAGATATACACACTAAGAGAGACAGGAATTCCTTAGATAAATGCCTGTGGCACCATTATTATTATGTAGTGAATATACCTAAGAAAGCTGGCAGACAATAACCTGTCTTTTGAAGAGAGAGCAAAGGAATCAGAATAATTTTTAATAAAGAACAAAAATTCTGAAGTGAAACATTGAATCCCTTCACACCTTTGGAGGCATTAAACAAACATGAACCAATCTTCTGTTTTCATTAAAGACGGGAGAAAGGGAAATGGACTTTCAATGCTGCATGAAACCTTTGGATAAATCCCATCAAAGAAACCCACTTGACTCAGTGGGTTGTGAAATGTTGGAAAGTCTCCAGGTTAGAAAATCTTCAACGTCTAGGCTTATGGTAGCCTCTAAGATGTTTTCACTTTAGAATTTTGTCTTCAGACTTCAGATTACTTTACCTACACTCTTCTAATTAGAAGCAATGCTTCATTTCAATGTTTAATTCCATAACCCTTATTTTCTGTAAACATATCCTTGATTAGCAACCCAATGCAGTTTTAAAAAATTTAATTATTGTGGATGCTGTTGAGCACTAATTAACAAAGGAAGGCTGTCAGGAATGAGATGCACTATTGTTAGAAACTCCTTTTCATTTATGAAATGCAATCACACAAATGAAGAATAACTTTGTTAGGAAAATTGGCTTAATTTTTCTAATTGCACGACAATGAAGCCTCCTTAAATATTTTGCAAAGAATAAGTAAAAGAAAATAAAAAGCAATAAAACTTGCAACTACATATAAAATGCTCTACTACAGAAATGTAGATAGTCTATGCTTTGTGTTTGATTATCATGATTATCATTATCAAGACTCTGCCTTATGCCTCCTTGGTACACTTCTTCATCCCAACCTCCACCCACATACCTGCTCACACTGATGGTCCAAATGGGAAGTTGGTATGTTGCCTATTGGCCACCTTGATAAGAGGCTTTTACCTAAAACTCCCTTTAAAAGATTGGAAGGAAGCAAGAATTTCAATAAAATGCTTTATAGGACAGAATTGGTTTCTACATTGAGAAAATAACCATTTCTGCTCAGCTAGTTAATTATTCCTGAATGAG